CGCTGCGCCTCTCTCCACACAGCAGAGCGTCCCCCCAGGGCATTAGGTGGCGCCCACAGCCTATTCACTCCCCAGTCCGCTTTATTGCGGGGTTTTGGGAGTCGCCAAAAGCGCGTGGCGAGCTGGGTGCCTCCGAAAGGAGCCAGATAACTGAGTTCCACGTGAGCCGCGGACGTTGCAGGCAGGTCCGCACCCGGCCGGCGCGGGTCAAAGCCAGTCGCTGCCCCCGGAGACCCAGGGCAGAGAGGCGCCGAGATTTGGAAAGCACCTACCCCGAAGCCAGGCTGCAAAGGCAGGGAGCTGAGAGTTATTGGATCCGAAAGAAAGAAAGGGAAAGAAAGAAAAAAAAAAAAAAGCAGGGGGCGGGGGAAGCAACAGGAAAGTAGGAGGAAGAGGAGGCAAAAAGAAAGCGCTGGGAAGCAGAGTTCGCGGGGGCACCCAGCCTCCAACACCTGGGCAGGGATGGGGACGAAGCTGCGGCCTCGGGTCAGAAGTGCTCGGGGCGCTTCCGCAGAGGGGGCGCTGGGGAGGCGCGGGGGGCTGGGGATGCGGGGCGTCCCGGCGCCCCGGGCGCGCTCTCGGGCGCCGCTTACCTTCGCCAGGGCCGCCCGCACGCACTTCCGGGGGCTGCGCGCGGGGGGCGCGGGGCCGAGCCGGGGGACCTGCGGCGGGTCCCCCAGGGAAGAGCGGGACTAACCGGTGCCTGGGGCTGGGGCCGGCGCTGGCGCCTGGGAGAGAAACCCCAATGGAGGAGCCGCCGGGGACCGCGCGGGGAGCGGGGTCCCGGCCTCGGCGCTCGCCGGCGATCGCGCCGAGTCCCGCAGACGCCGGAGGAGCCCGAGTCAGTGGGAGGAAAAGGTTGTCTCATTTCCTTCGGTCTCCCCACTCCTCCGCCCCCTCTGCTCCGGACCTGCCCTCCCTCTCCCCCGCCCCCTTCCCCTCGCCGGCGGCCCGTGTGGGCGCTGGGAAGACGCGAAACCTGAACGGCTGCAGCGTGCGGCGCCTCCCTCCCGGCCAAGTTAGTTCACGCTCCCAGCCTCCAGCCTGCCTCCCCGCGCTTCCGACAGTCCCCAGGGCCCCGACAGTTCCCCGTCGGCAGTGCCCCTGTCTGGGTGCTCTGGTCTGTCCCCCCTGGGATGAGCCCAGATTGAACAGCAGACCTCAGTGCCTGCCAGCATCCTTCCTCTCATTCCTGTGCCGCTGCCTGCTTGGAGCCTGTAAAAACCACTCTACCCAGGCAGGAAATAAATACTTACTTTGTTAAATTTGATCAACTTTTTTTTTCCCCAGTGGGGAGTTTAAAACCTGATGTATAATCTCGAAGGAGAGTTCATTTTGATTGGAAGGAGAGCAGTCTTTGGCCTTGCTCATTCAGAGTGGGGTTTTGAGTATTGAATGAGTGTTGAAAGCCTAATAGGCCCTGAGCTGGGCAGAAATGAACCAGAAGGGAATATTGTTCCTAAAATCGACATAGGTGATTAGTACAGACAGAGAGCAAGGGTGCTGTGGTCTCTTAAGAGATAGGTCGAGAACTTTCTGTGGAGTAAAGACAGCCTGGGCAGCGGCAAGAAGGCATGAGAAAGCCCCATGGGGAGGCAATCCAGCAGAGAACCCAGTCAGGATGGGAAGTGGCGGGGGGGGGGGGGCAAAGAGGGAAGAGAAATTCGTGCACTGGGTGGGGGGTTACTCAGCTCGGCATGCGCCCTCTCGCAGTCCGGGAACCATCAGTTGGACATCCTTAGCACTGCTGCGGAGGCAGGAGAGGCTCCCACCACCGCCACTGCACTCGCCAGCCTGTGAGCCCGGCTTCTGGCTGAGCAGCCTCCCCCTGTGGGAGTGCACTGACCACCAGGTGGCAGCTCCTGCATTGAGTGTCTGCCTACTCGTGGCCAGTGCACGTCATAGCAACGGGTCATTCTGCTGTTCGGTCAATTTACATATTAGCCTTTTATTATATAGGATGAACTGAGACATCATAAAATGAAGATCTGTTTGTCGCTGCAACCCAAGTTTCTTGTGTCCAAGACACCATAGGCAACCTGCACATTACACTTAATCCTCACCTGGGGAGTGTTTTGAAATAACATGTTGGGCTCCAGACCAGACCCGTTGAATCAGAATCTCCAGGGGTGGGGCTTTTTTTTAAACCTCTGCAAGTAATTAAAACATGCAGTGAGGTTTGAGCACTGCTTCTATAGGAAATGCAGAGACAGTGCCTAGGCCCTAACAGATGAGCAGTTTACAAAACAGCCAGGAGCTCATTCTAGTAGTGATCTCCATAAGTCATCAGGAATAGAAAAATGTCAAAATTGCTCCCTGGCCCACAGCATCCTAAGACAATGCCAGGCTGAGGAAATTCTTGGACGTATCTCAACCTTGAGTGAGTGAGGTCATCCCCACATGGTCAAGGGTAGGAATTCTCGTTCCATCTCCAGAAAGCACAAATGATTGAAACCATAATCCTTGCCCCTTCTCCTGTGGCACTGCTATTTACAAGAAGCCTTTAAACAGTCAGTGCTTATGCATTCCAGAAGTGGCCAGTGATCTCCAGGAGCAAGGCAGCCATGTGAACCGAATAATGAAAGACCAAGGAAAGTGCCTCATGGCCCAACGAGAGGCTAATGGATGGGCAGACAGAGACCAATGTGCCACCATTAGTTACGTCACTTCAGGAAAATCAGGAGGCCAGGACTTAAATGTTTTGCCCTACCGTCATTTCATATTTGTTCACCCTAGCAAAAGTAAGCTTGAAAAGAAAACGGGTACTTGTTTAAAATACCAGAGAAGCAGGACAATTTCTTTTTCTTTCTTTTTTAACCCACTGTTTCACTTTTGCCATTGAATTCCCTGGCCAAGTAATGGGATTTCTGTTAAGGTCCATGGATAGACATTAACCAGGAGGCATTTAAATTCATTCATTCCACAACAGCCTGCTGAAGTGAAACTGGTCATTTGATAGTCTTAGCCACTAACACCTCCTAGACACCAAAGGTCGAAGAAGACAGCACCGCCCATGTACAGTCCAACTTTTTACAAGGTCTAATGGATGCCTTTAATCACCAAATAAATCAATGTTGACAGTTGTGCCCCCTTGAAGTCCTAGCTTCCAGATGTAGACAACTAAATTATAAAATCCATGTTCGCCAGGCCTTCTGTTCCTTTTCGGAGAGCGATGTCTTTCCTGTACTGAGGAATATGAGGGGATGCTGGGAACACCCTGTCGGTTGTTTCAGTGAAATTTTAATAGGAATAAAAATCCCAGAGAATTTCAGTGCACAGCCCAGTCCCCACAGTGTTCTAATCACCTCCCCCACCTTTCTTAAAATGTTTTGTGCCCAGAAGGGATGAGATAATGAGGAACGAGCATCAATTAAGCACGTCTTCAATCTACTTCGAAGTGGGAGCTTATCTTTCACTGAGTTATTTCCTCATGGCCCCAGTCAGTAGACTAGAGACCTAACTACTCTTGGCTAAACCACTTTATCTTGCTCGGGGGTAATAGAGTAGAAATCAAAATATTTCTCTAGCCAGTTGCTGCTGCCCAACACGACGTTACCTCTGATTAATGACAGGTTTTAAATCAAAACACACTCCCCAGTTAAACTATAAACATAGCTGAGTGTAAATTTTGCTTCTTTTCCCCCCTTCATGTTCCATAGGGAGATTTTCATGCCCAGGCTGACACCTCCTCTACGTTTTTCATCTTGGCCAACAAGGTTAAATAAGCATAAACGTCACTTGAATAAATCATCCACACAAAACACTCTGTTATGACCAACAGGAAGCCACTGTAAAAACGAGAGGTTTCAATCATTAAAAAAAAAAAAATGAGGCAATGGAACAATAAAACATGCCCAGTGACACTGCTAATAGTTGATCTTTAAGAAAATGCATGTTAGATCCCTACCACCACACATATGACCCTAGATAGCTGTCTCTCAGATAAACATGTCTCCCTTTATCAAAAATACCATTGATCCTCATAAAATTGAGACACCCATGACCCATTAAAACTTGTACATCATAGGTAGCACACTATTAAAAGTCACATTTTTAGAGGAATAAGGAGCACTAGCGTTCACGATGAAGTATAAACTTTGAATTAAAGCATAACTGAGCCCTGTTCTGAGGCTGCCTGCAACCCTTCCAGATTCCTCAGAGACTTCTTCCCTGTAACTGTGGAAGGTGTGAGCTTGAGAAATTAATCTAGTGGTTTGTTTGGAAAGATAAATGGGCAAACACAGAACAGAAGACAAAACATACCAAACTATTCATTTCCTTGAAGGGTGTGCACTAACTAGACCAGATGGTGGTGGCAGGCATTGGAACTTCTGAAAACCCCACAGAGCATCCACTTCTCAGATTCATAAATTTCATGGTAGCACGTTCTGGAACACAGTGTCCTTATACACAGGTGTGTTAGATCTAATCAAACCAAGTGCACGGCACTCTGTTCATTATCCCGGTGCCCGAATTGGAGTGATTTCCATTTGCCACCAGCAACCAGTCAGCCCTCTGTGTCTGCACACAGTGATGGAGTTTGGGATCTACTTTGTTGGTTGTGTGTGTGTGTGTGTGTGTGTGTGTGTTTAATCCTCACCTGAAGATAGTGTTTTTATTGATTTTGAAAGAGAGAATAAGGGAGAGAGAGAGAGGGAGAGAAAAAAACATTGATGTGAGAAACATGGATCAGTTGTCTCCCGCACATGCCCCTGACCAGGGATCAAACCCGCAGCCTAGGTATGTGTTCTGATGAGGAATAGAACACACAACCTTTTGGTGCATGGGACGATGCTCCAACCAACTGAGCCACCCAGCCAGGCTTCTTTTTTTAAGGGTGGGGGAGGACAGGGGGCATATACTTTGGATGTGAAAGTCTGATTCATTTTCTTCACCAATAGGTCCACAATGGAATCCTTTAAATTAGCTATTATGTTGGGGTCCAACCCCAACGGGTCCAGGGGTCCCCAAAGGTGTGGACGGAGTCGGCGAAGAATGAATGACATGGAAACTGGGTTCAGTTCATCAGCATAGCGAGGTTCTCCCTCCAGAATCTCCAGCGAAGTTCTGGTCAGGATCTCCAACTAAGTTCTGGTGCCATGTTCTCTCGCTAGGTTCTCCAGCCAGGTTCTCCAGGTTCTCCAGGTTCTCCAGCCAGGTTCAGTCACCAGGTTCTTTTGCCATGTTCTGTCTAGGTTCTCCAGTGAAGTTCTGTAACCAGGTTCTGTCCAGGATCTTTTACCATGTTCTCTCCCTAGGTTCTCTCTCTAGGTTCTGTGTCTGGGTTCTGTCCCTAGGTTCTTCAGCCAGGTTCTCTCGCTAGGTTCTGTGTCTAGGTTCTGTCTCTAGGATCTCCAGTGGAGTTCTGGCCAAGTTCTGGTTTGGATCTGATGAGGATCTGATGTTTATTGTCTTGTTACATCTATATTTATACCAGCCGATTTTAATCCTGTCAATTTCTATTACAAAGGTTAGGGCGTTTCTTATCTCCATTCCAGGGAGTAAAGATTATGTAGCTTAACTACCCACCTGGCACTTAATTAAGGGGTTGTATCCCCTCCCTAACCTCAGGGAAAAATCCCCACCTGGGGAAACAACCTTTCTCGGAGAGGTGACCTTGGTTAAAACACATGGCGCTAAGGAGGTGAGCAAACATATTAAGAACAGTATGCCATATATGCCAGGTCCCTTGAAACAGCAAGGATGGACCGGCTCCTGGCACTATTAAAGTATTTATAATATGACTAGAGGCCCGGTGCACAAAATTCATGCACTGGGGGGGGGGGGTAGGGTTCCCTCAGTCCGGCCTGAGCCCTCTCGCAGTCCAGGACCCCTCTCCCTTACTGCCCCCCTGCTCGCTGCTCCTTACCGCTCGGCTCGCTGCTCTTTAGTGCTGCCAAGGAGGCAGGAGAGGCTCGCCAGCCATGAGGTGAGCCCAGTTTCTGGCTGAGTGGTGCTCCCCCTGTGGGAACGCACTGACCAACAGGGGGCAGCTCCTGCATTGAGTGTCTGCCCCCTGGTTGTCAGTGCTCATCATAGCAACCGGTCATTCTGGTTGTTCCACCTTAACGGTTGCTTAGACTTTTATTATATAGATTCTTTTAGTTTGTTTTTTAATGGTTTGCTATACTTCTCAGAAGCAGAGGGTTTACTTTGCAGTAGTCTTCCCTTATCTGCAGTTTCACTTTGAGGTTTTATTTACCCGTGGCCAACCGCGGTCCAAAATATTAAATGGAAAATCCCAGAAATAAACACTGTATAAGTTTTAAATTGTGTGCTGTACTGAGTAACATGCTGAAATCTCACCCAGCCCCACTGCTGCTCACCCAGGATGGGACTTGCCCGGCATATCCAGGCTGTTTATGCTCACCTGCCCATTAGCCACTTAGTAGCCATCTAGGTTTTCCAATTAACTGTCTCAATATCACAGTGCTTGGGTTCAAGTGACCCTTATTTTACTTAATAATAGCCCCAAGGTGCAAGCGCAGGGATGCTGGCAATTCAGATATGCAAAAGAGAACTCTTCAGGACTTCCTTAAGTGAGAAGGTCCATACTAGTATAGTGCAATAAGATCTTTTGAGAGAGAGAAAGAGACTACATTCACATAATTTTTATTAAAGCATATTGCTATAACTGTTCTATTTTATTATTGTTGTTGTTAATCCTGGACTGTGCCTCATTTATAAATTAAACCTTATTATGGCTATCCTTACTAATAAAAGCCTAAGTGATCGTCATGCCGTGATGCCCTCATGCCCTCACAACATGGCTGCTTGTACAGCGGGCACGCGCAGGTGGGCAAGGCTGGGCTTGAAGCTGCATGCGTGGCACGGAGCCTGCCTGGGAGTCCCGCCTCCTCCCAGCTCAGCGCGGTGAGGCCTGCCTGGGGGGTCCCCAGGCTCTGTGGGGTGAGGCCTGCCTGGGTGTCCTGCCTCCTCCCGACTCCACGGGCTAGGCCTGCCTGAGGGTCCTCCATCTCCGCACTGCGACGCCTTCCTGGGGGTCCTGCATCCTCCCTACTCTGCGCGGCTAGGCCTGCCCCGGGGTCCTGGGGGTCCCACCTCCAGGTTCTGCATGGGGCGAAGGCAGGAACCCTGGCTCCGGCCTACCTCTTTGGGGCAATCCATCGAGGAGCCCCGGATGGGTGAGCGGGGCCTACCTATTTGGGGTGATTGATCACAGGGCTCCCGCACTGTGACAGGGCACAGGTTAGGCTGGGGGACCCCCCCCCCCCCCCGAGTGCACAAATTTCATGCACTGGGGCTCTAGTGTATATATAGGAAAAAATAGTACATATGGCAGCGGTTCTTAACCTGTGGGTCGTGACCCCTTTGGGGGTCGAATGACCCTTTCACAGGGGTCACCTAAGACCATCGGAAAACACATATATAATTACATATTGTTTTTGTGATGAATCACTATGCTTTAATTATGTTCAATTTGTAACAATGAAAATACATCCTGCGTATCAGATATTTACATTATGATTCATAACAGTAGCAAAATTACAGTTATGAAGTAGCCACGAAAATAATTTTATGATTGGGGGTCACCACAACATGAAGAACTGTATTAAAGGGTCGCGGCATTAGGAAGGTTGAGAACCACTGATATATGGGGTTAGGTACTATCTGCAGTTTTAGACATCCACTGGGGTCTTGGAACATATCCCCCATAGATAAGGGGGGAGGGACGACTATAATGAGATATACAGAGTGACAGAGCTTCCACACAGATGTATGACCTCAAACTCCCCAGCCCGGGGCCACAGGGGAATTTGGTCAGGTCAGGGGGTCTTCTCTGTGCCTCAGGCCCCTGCTTGCTGGGCCTTTCTTCCTCCATCGACTTCCTCATCCCTTGTCTTTGATCTTCCCACTGCCTCCTTCCCCTCAACCTTGAACTTGCCCAAACCTGCCCCATCATTTAAATCACATGAACAAATTGCTATTCAATAGGTCTTCCACGTTCTGCACCCAATTATAGATCTTTTCCCACCTTTATTTCTCTTCATAACCAAACCTCAAACAAATACAGTGGGGCCTTGATTTAAGAGTGTCCCGACTAACGAGTTTTTCGAGATATGAGCCATCTCTTGGCAGATTTTTTGCTTTGAGTTGCGAGCTAAAATTCAGGTTACGAGCCAGCTTCAGATACCCCACTGCTAGTTGGTGCAGCGAACGTCACAGTGAACGCCACAACATCAGCCCAGCATCACGTGTCTCACTCGTTCACTTTAATGATTTGACATACGAGTAATTTGAGTTACGAGCTCTGTCACGGAATGAATTAAACTCGTAAGTCAAGGCCCCACTGTAGGTGTATTTATTATCAGTCACTTTCTTAACGTCCATTCAGTCATTCAACTTACTGTAGTCTGGTTTCTGTTGCCAACACTCCAGGGAAACAGCCCTCATTCAAGTCCCAAATAGCTTCCCAGTGTCGAAATCCAGCGGCTGCTGCTGCGCTGGGGTTGATGACCTCTGGCAGGGTTTGCATTGCTCGCCTGTGGCGGTGACCTCTGGCAGTGCTTTTCCTGTTGGCCTCTTCCCTGTTCCCAGGCTCTTCTCTCTTACGGTGCACTTCCCCACTTCCCAGATCCCCGCCCACCGCTGGGAGCACTCCTCCTCTGTGACCTCCCATAACTGACTTTGCTTCATAGCAAAGGCATCCGTTCACATCACTGGAACTTTTCAGGGGTCAGCCACTCGCTCACATGGTGAAGTCTAGACTCCTGTGCATGGGTGCACAGCCCTTCCCCTGGCCACGCCTGCTCCCCTCCCCCCGCCCCCCAATCCAGTAACAACCTGTCTTATGCTCCGAGTATCCATCTCTTTACAGTCTCCCACACATGCCAGGCTATTTCACGCTTCTGTTCCTCTGTACAGAATGTTCTCGACTCCACTCCCATCCTCCCCTGAAGAATGTTCTCAACTCCACCCCCATCCTCCTCCAGCTCATCTTTGAAGACTCAGAACAAAGGTGAGCCATTCTGGAAGCCTTCCCTGTCCCCAGACAAGAGGCGGTGCTCCCTGGGAGCCCCTGGCATCTGTGACATGTCTTCACTTCGAGGTCTGCATTGTGTCACCTCACCTGGATCTGAGTCCTGTGAGGGTAATAGGTGCTCGTTTATCTGTTTCGAGTTTGGTAGAGTACCTAGCTCTTAGTAGGTGCTACTATCTGATTAGCAAGAAACCTCACAACTTCTTGTATTTCTCTCAATTGAATTGAATTTGCCCTGAGCTTTCTACTCTCCCCCTTGAGATTTAATCTGTCATTATTGGGGCACGCCTCCTCCCCAGGGTCACGAGGCAGTCTCTGGTGACTTGTGCCATACACAGCATGCAAAGAGGGCCCTCCGGACTCTGCCTGCACTGGCACCTCCTTCAGGCTTCAGTCCAAGCCGGCATGGAACCAGGAGGCAGGTTCTTCTGAGGCCTGGGCCTTGGAAATTCCCCCACCCCCCAGGAATTTTAAAGCCACAGCTCTTAATTAGTCATGTCTACCCCACCCCACTCCTGCCCCGGTTGTGGGTGTTGTGGGTCAGGTGTCCATACCTCATGAGTACCCCCAGCGATCCTGCTCTTTCTTTCCTTCTCAGGGACTCAGTCTTCAGTCAGGCTGCGCACCCTCAGAAACCCACAGCCCCCCTCCTGCCGGTCCCTCAATAAGTAAAGGCAGCAAAGACAAAAGCAGGAGGAAGTATGTCTTCTCCGACTAGAACGTCTGTTTTCAGCTCTGCAGCAACACAAAGACCCCAACGACAAGGGCACACCAGGGTCTTACTACCTCCTTGAGGCAGGGGAGGGAAGGGTAGCTATAGGGAAGAGAACGAGACACAAAAGGATATCTCAGGAAGCTACTCTGCCCCAGAACCTTCAATGAATTTGTTCAGTTATTTAACAAAAGCTGAAATGTCCATGAAAAAAAAAAATGAATGCAATTGCTCTCCCAAAGAGAGACACCTCCTCCTGGCAGGACTCCACACTCAACTGTAGCCTTCTCATTGTTTCCCTGGGAAAGAGGCCCGGCATCCCAGGGATCCTCCGGCCTGTGGCCCAGGAGGGCCACTCACGTGGCCGGGTTTATTTGAGCTGCTGACTTGGGTTGCTGACGCGGGCATTTGCCGCAGCTGCACTCACCCACTTTCTCTCATGGATGATTTTAATCTCTCTCATTTTTGCCCAGCCTGTGAGAACACTGAAAGCCTGGTTCGGAGGGGGGCAGGAGATAGACAGTGCAGGTCAGGAGTTGAGCAGCGGGTAAATCCTAGGGGAGGAAGCAAACGTGTGTGTAATCCTTTCAGGAAAACAAGCATTATTGGAGAGGAGAGAGCTGCCAATGGAACTTTGTTCCAAGAATAAATAGCACATTTTCCCTCAGTGTTTGCTTTTCTCTCTTTGATCCCCTCGAAACCCTCTGGAAATGCCTGGCCAGCAGCTTTGCTCCCCTTGGAGGCTGGGGAGAAGGGGCCCCAAGCATTCCCTTGAGAGTCCTCCGATGGAGGCATCAGCAGGGCTCCCGGCAATGCTGGAGCCACAGGCCTGTGGAGGGAGGAGGGGCTAGACGTTTTCGTAACGTTTAATCACCACAAATATGCCACAGTGTTTCCAAACATGTCATCGTGATGCCCAGAAGCTGTTTAAAATGGAGCCATCGTGGAGAGGGTCTGTGACCAAAGCCACTGGGAGCCTTGGGAGCTGGCAAGTTAAGGAAAAGCAGAGCTCAAGGGGGGTTAATGTTTAGCTCTGGTCCCAGGCGGTGGTAAACGCCTGCACGCAGCGAGGCTGAGGCGAGCATGCCCTCTCCGCCGGGAGTTTATGGCTCACATGCTCTAGAAACCACAGTCCGTAGTTTCACAGGTTTCCTGTCTTTCCCCAGACAGCTTTATTTCCAGGGAGTTTCGGGCGGGACCACACCAGTGAAAGATAAGGGCCTTGGCATCCAACAGACCTGCCATTAGTTTTGGTTCTTCCACTCGCTTGTTGTGAAGTCAGGCAAGTGAGGTATTTGGTTTCCTCGTCTGCCAGGTGGGAATGATAATGCTTGCAGGATGCTCATGAGCAATATGAAATGCTGCCTGCAAACCTAGCCTTTTGCTCGACTCGGTGTTCAGTAAGTGCCAGTTTCCTTCCACCTCTGCATCCACGCAGTGTATTACTCAAATCAGAAAATACTAAGCACTGATTAATGGTAAAACTTGTCCCAGGTTTATATGGAAAGCCAAGACATATAAAACCCACTCAATGGGAAACGGCATACAAAATAAGGAATCAAGTCTGGAAAGTGTCAAGTAACAGGTACGTGTGTTGTCATAAATAAAACACAGGAGGCGCCGATCAATGGCCAGTGCTGACAGTCAGTGCTAGGGGCTTGGGAGGGAAAGCTTTAGGGTGGGGGTTGGGCTTGCTCTGGACGGAGAGCCAAGGAACAACCAGACGTGTTTTGGAAAAGCTAACAGACTTACTGTGTTTCATAGGATCCCCTTAGGGATAATTTGGGAAATATTTGGAAAGGAAATTGGGGGATATAGTAAAGACAGTGGCGAATTCTTTGTCACTGTCCCAATCAAGAGGCAGACTTGACTTCTCCTCTCCTTGATCTGGACTGGTTCCGTGAGTGATTAACAAATAGACCATAGCAGACATAATACTGTGCTAGTTTTGGACCTAGTCTTTAAGAGAATCTGTAGCTTTACTTCCTGCTTCTTAGAACTTTTGCTCTTAAGACTTTGCCTCTTTGAATCCAGCTACCAGGCTGTGAGAAGCCCAAGCTATATGGAGAAGCCAGGAGTGGGCTCTTTGATGAAAACCCCAACTAAGCTACCCAACAGGCAGTATCAAGAGCAGCCATGTGAGTGAGCCATCTTGCATATTCCAACCCTGTCAAGTCCCCAGATGACTGCAGTTGATACCCATATGGAGCAGAAGACCACCCAACTGATCCCAATCAATCTACAGAATCGTAATAATATAGAATGGTCTTGCTCTTAGATGTTGTTGTAATGTACCCCGTGAATCACAGAAGGACGCCTCAAGAAGTCGAATTAAAGAGTCACATTTATTGCAATCCGGGACTATGAGGAGTCATTCCCAAATCTCATAGTAACAAAATGGTCGCAGTTCCAGGGTTATGTAGGCAAAAAATCACAAAGGTATTGATTACATCTCAAGGTTTGGAATGAGGAACCTGGTTTGCAAAAAAAGCAGTTTACAGAAGCAGAAGCAGCATGTTAATTATAGTTTTGGGTCTCGGGGTCACTGAATTGACAGAAACACATTATCTAGAGCCCTCGGGTCTGGAATGAGGAACCTGGGTTAAACTTAGGCATGTTATCTAAATTACAGTTTTGGTCTCTGGAACACTGAGTCAACAAGGATACGTTAACTGGAGCCCTCTGACCTTGGGATAACTGTGCTGTCCTTCCCAGGTAAAGGAAAATGTGCTTTCTAAGACTAGTATAACCACAACCCATGGGATATTCACATTACAATCAATAAGGCATTCAATCGAATGGGATGATTTATATAATTCAGAAAATCAAAATAACCTGTCCATTGTTAAACAAAGCAAATAGGTACCATACTTCAATGTAAATGTTGGAATGATATGTTATACAACTATAGATAATTAAAACAGAGCCATAACTGGTTTGGCTCAGTGGATAGAGCATCTCGGACTGGGGACTCCCGGGTTTGATTTTGGTCAAGGGCATGTACCTTGGTTGTGGGCACATCCCCAGTGGGAGGTGTGCAGGAGGCAGCTGATCGATGTTTCTCTCTCACCGATGTTTCTAACTCTCTCTCCCATCCTCTCGGTAAAAAATCAACAAAATATATTAAAAAACAAAACAAAACAGAAAGGAACTTGTGGGAGGCCTTGAATGCCAAACACCAAAGTCTACACTTTGTCATTACCATCATCTTCATCATTATAGAAATCATTAGTAAATTAAAACTATGTGACAGATACTGTGTTGTAAGTTATTTTAAATCCTCACCCGAGGGTATGTTTGTTGATTTTAGAGAGAGGAAGGAAGAGAGAACCCGAAACCTAGGTATGTGCCCTGAATGGGAATAGACCGGGAATAAGTTTTTAACTTATTTTTAAATTTTAACCTGCTTATGAGCCTATGTGGTAGGTACTATTGTTGTAATGTACCCCACGAATCACAGAAGGACGCCTCAAGAAGTCGAATTAAAGAGTCACATTTATTGCAATCCGGGACTATGAGGGGGCATTTTGGCTCTCCCAAATCTCATAGTGATAAGATGGCCACAACACCAGATTTATATAGGCAAAGATCACAAAGGTATTGATTACATCCCAAGGTTTGGGATGAGGAAACTGATTTGCAAAAAAGCAGTTTACAGAAGCAGAAGCAGCATGTTATCTAAATTAGAGTTTTGGGGTCTCTGGATCACTGAATTGACAGAAACACATTATCTAGAGCCCTTGGGTCTGGAATGAGGAACCTGGTTTGCAAAAAAGCGGTTTAC